GAAGCACAGCCCTGACCAGTGGAAATGGGTTTCTTTTTTTTTTTTCTTCTCTTTTTTTTCTTCTCCTTTTTTTATCTTTTAATTTTGTTGGTTTTTTTTTTTAACTTCACCCACGCACAAGAACGAACCGCTAGCATTTGCTGGAGAAAATCTGCCAAAGGCTTGCCGATACCTAGCTGTCCAGATGCGGGCTGTGAAGACGGCCGTCAGAGTCTGCTGGCGCCCGTTGTCATACCAGGGAGAAGAGTAGTTGCTTTTCAAGCATCTGGTGTATTCGTTGAATACGCGATCTTCCTCTCTGTCATCCAGAGCTTTTGGGGCAGGGCGTGGGGGGAACTTTCCATCTCTCATCAGCATAACTTGGAGTGCTTCTGGGAAGCACGCTAGCGTTTGCGTGTCACGCATTTTTGTGACAAAAGGCCAGCTGCTGTGAGATTGCTGGCACAAAGACCTCTCTCTTCTCCAGATGATGACTGGGCTACAGAACATCTTTAGAAAGCAGAAATTTCTACAGTGTTCTCGCCATGATCACCAGAGGAGTCAAGTTCCTTCCGGATGAACAATAGCATTGGGATTGAAGCTTCAGAAAGGACACTTTTGTGTTGAGAAGAGCATTACCTCTTTCTTAACCATGTACATGTCCAAATGGCTGGAGGCATCTGCTGCAGAAATACTCTCTGCATTTAAAGCCTGTGGGCATGGAAAGTAACAAGTAAAGCTCACTTTCTTTTACTGGGAAGCTCAGAGAGACAAGTCTCTCTCAAAGCTGATAGTAAACTGGTCTTGTGGATAAGGGAGAGGACTTAATTCAGGCATTTGGGCTTCAGGATCCTCAAGTAAAAGAAGATGGTTAATTTTGAAATCAAGTGGAAGTGCACTGTCTGATATATCAGATCCTTTACAGAGGCAGAGAAAAATTGGCATGTGGGCTAAGGCAGTGAAACACGCTAATTCCTTCGGGCACGGCTTCTTTGTCTCTTCTTTCTCTTCCTGATTGAGTTATGGGGAGCAGGAATTTCCTCCCAGGATAGGAGTTTTCTAGTGGTTATCACTAGTAATAAGGTTGGAATGAGAATGCCACCATCTTTCTTGGCATCCTTCACTCCCAAATAAACAACTGTTACAGTCGTTGTCTGAATTTATAAAGTCTCTGTTGCTGTCCTGTAGGAACTTAAAGGGTTACGCTCTGAAAGCTTAGAGAGCATGATGGATTTCAAAGACACATACACAAAATTCTCTATCCATTTTGTGCTTCTGGATTTTCCTGTGTCACGGTTGTACAACAGGAGACTGACAAGTCTCTATCCGATCCAGAAATCTTGCGTGGCAGCCAGATAACATGGAAGAAGTTTAAATGAAAGAACGTCAGATTTGTCCAGCTGTTGCAGCAATTCCTGTCCTCACCATACGTGCAGTACTATGCTTCTAGCATGAAAAGGAATTGAAAAAAAGGATTGTAGCTGTGCAAGCTGACAGAATGAGGAATGCTTTCTAGTGCTTCTCATACATTCACACAAAATAACTTTTTCTTTGGCAATGCATTAAATCCAGCTGTTCCCTTCCCCACACCATGTGTGGACTTCTTACTCTGGCAAATGCAGGATGAATTGGAAAAACTGTGAGAAAAAATGTTTCTGCCAAGCTGTAGTACCCAGTTTCATTTCTGAAAGTGGAAACTTCAGGAAGCAGAAAACCATCCTTCTTCAGTTACTACTTTGTCACAAAAGAAAAAAAAAAAAAGGAGTGAAAGGAAAGACTGTGGTGAAATCCCAGCAGAACTCTCTGTACCAAAAAGAAGATGCCGAAGCCCAAGACCAGAGCTACAAGGCATGTAGAAGATGGTTATGGCCTGGCATGGATCCTGAAACTGCAACACTTGATGGATTTTTTCCCGATAACTCGGACCACAGTTTGATGGCATGTTTGGGGGTGGGGAGGGCAATGACAGGAGGAGATTTTGGACAATCTTGTTTTATTTAACTTTCCTTTCAGCGTAATTTAGTAGCAAAGAGAGCGGAGCTTTTGCAGCCTCTCATGACCTGCAGAAGTGCTTGTTGCTGCTCTGATTGTAATCTCTGGTGTAAGTCAGAATGGTGGTGGATCCTAAATCCAGAAAAAATTAACCTGTTAGTGGCAGTCTGTCTTTAACAGATGGTAAAAGTGCACTTCCATGTAGGAATTCCAGTTCTTGGCAGTCAGCAGCGTTGCTGCTTTTGTGATTATGACCCTCTTGCATTCCCCCTAAAAAGCGGATGGTCTAGTTACAGTCAAGGAAGAATACATAGAGGCAGAAGTACTTGATCTCTAAGAACTAAAGACCTTTGGAAAAAATAAGGCATAAATCAGATTAATTTATTTGTAAGTAATTTTAGTAATTAAAAATACCATTCTACATGCTTGACTGCAGCCCGTCTACCGGTAACACAGGGTGACAGTATTGAAGCCAAAGTACAAGTCCCGAGTGGCCCGCGCTGGGCTGTTAATGTTTTCCAAGGAATTGCAGTCATTCTAAGTTAATGCGCGATAATTATGTAGTGTGCCTCATCATCCTGAAATGACGGCTGCGTGTTGTTTGAGCGCGTAGTCCCACACAACATTGCCCAAAAGGCTGTTGTTGTCTTTGGCATAGGAGTGAATCAGAAAATCTACTTCAGCTTCTGCTGAAACATATTCACCTGTGACAATGGTATTTCTGCAGAGCACCTTGATTGGCAGAGTAAAGGCACGTAATGGAATTAAAAAAACCCAAAACCACAAAACTCCCAAAAAAAACGAGAGGGGGGGGAAAAAAAAAAAGGCAGCAGGAAAACACAAAACTACTATTTGGGATGGAGTCCGGTGTGGGGAAGTGATACGTGCTTGGTAGATTAGTGCTTGGGTTTCAACCAAGAGAGTGAGGCATTTCACTGCTTTTGGCTTGCTGAAGGTCCCAACCAAATAGGCTCATCCATTGCTTTAAGAGGTTTAGATAAGAAGTGCATTCCGGGTAGTAATTACTGCAAACTTCTCTCACTCTGAGAGGAAACCTTCAAGAACTGTGTAACTATTATGTTGAAATTCGTGTAGTTAAATGACAAGCAGTGTGACATTGTCTAAGTCGGTGTTGATGAACCTAGAGAATAGTCCTCAGCTATTCAGTCAGTGTTTGGTATAATGTCATTGAAGTGGTTACTGATAATTTAACTGAAGATAAAGATGATATTTTATTCTGAGAGAACCTAATCTCAGTTTTGAAAAACATGGAAACAGAAGATTCATCAAGTAACTGTTGGTGAAAGGTTTTTAATACTGTCTTTTCTATGACACAGCAACAAAGGGGGATGAGTGAGAAAACGGTGGTTTTGTAAGTTGCTGAAAAAATACTCCTTTACAGTTTGGTGAGAGGGGAAAAAACCCCACCTTTAGACTAAAGAGTTTGTCAGGGCCAGTTGTGTTCTTAATTAATACAAGTATCACAGTGGTTGAGGTCTTAATTAGGCTCACGCATATTTTGCTGGATACTTGACAGATGGATTAAAGATAGCCTTCGCTGAAAGAAGCTTATGATCTTAATTGTTTCTAAGCTCAGTACCTGTGTGGGATTAACTGTAATCACATAGATAGTCCCTTGGAAACTTATATGATTGCTGCTGGGTTTAAAATGAAGTATGCGTTTGAGAGTTTGCAGGATTGGGTCCCCAGTGCCAGAGTGGATATAGTGAATTCCCTTGTGATAGGTCATTGCAAAAATGGCTTCTGGAAGAGTCACAGCAATACCCTTGAAAGTGAGGTTTTGTTATTAGGCACATGTAGAACAAATCCTTTTTTAAAAATAATGGAGATAGAAAAGAAAGAAATGGCAAGAAAATACTATAGAGGTCACAGTTCTCTGAAATAATCTGTTGAATTCTACAGTATTTTGTAAGTTATTCTTAAGATTCATAGAATAAAATTATCTTTGGACAATTTGCATTTGATCTATTTGCTAAATGAAGTTCAGGGGATACATTGTGAACAGTAGAATGAACACTATTGTTACGTTCAAATCCTTTACTTCTAATTGGGTGAGTGTACTGTAGCATTTGATTTCAGATGTGACCAACACCCTAAAAAAAAGCAAAGTGGGAACTTTCTTTTGCTAACTTACATTGTTATTTGTGATAGGTTGTTTACAAGCACAAATGTGGGCATGCTTTTTTTGCTGAAAGATTTGCAATGTAAATACACCTGCCCTCTAAATACAAATATAATGATACGTCTGTTACTGTTAAGCTGTCATGCAAAACATATTTACGTTTGACAGTTATAGATGCCTAATCCTGCAAACTGCATAGGTTAGACAAGTAATCAACGAATACCTGTCTTACGGGGTTTTACTACAGCATTTTTCCAGTAGTGAGCTCTTAGGAGCCTCCGAATTGTCCTGACACGCACACAGGTGTCGCAGTTCCATATGAGCGTTCTGGCCGACCTCCTTCTCTAGTAGATCTGCACGCTGTCCTTAGTCTTGCTGTCATGGGATCGTGAAGGCTGTTTACAGACCTGGTGGTTCTTTCCAAGTAGGAATGGAAAGTTCAGTTTTTTGCAATTTCATGGAGAACACACAGTTGTTTTTTTCTCTTTTTCACTCTTTTAAGTATTTGTTCCTTTCCAGACTACCGTAACTAAAAAAAGAGAAAACCTGTCTAAAATATGTTTACTTATCTTTTCATCTCATTTTTTTCTCTCTCTGAATAAAGCCTGAAAACTTACTTTTAGCTAGTAAATCCAAGGGAGCAGCAGTAAAACTGGCAGACTTTGGCTTGGCTATAGAAGTCCAAGGAGAACAACAGGCTTGGTTTGGTAAGTAAATATTTTTTTACTTTTCTCACCACTTATTCGGCAGTGCCGTCAAGCCTCCCAAACCGCCCAACTCTCACAGTGCTGTAAAACGTGCTAAGACAGTAGCTGTGTGACTACTTGATATGTAGCTTTAAGGGGTATTTTGTTCATAGTTCAGTCTCTACAGCTTTTTCTCCAGGAAGAATGTTATATGTAATTCTCACTGAATTAAGCAGAGCTCGGTAGCAAACCTTATTAGTTTAAAAATGAAAAAAAAAAAAGGAGGGGGGGGGAATCCCCTAACATTTCAAAAACTACCTGTGGCTACATTTCCAAATCTCAGAGCTCGCTTAGACAAGAAGTGGCTCTGCCTTATAGCATACTCTTGACTAGTAAACATAAAACACCTTACAAAATGACATAAAATAAATTGGCAAAGGTCTCTTCTGTTGGCACAACTGTGTTCAGACTGGGGATTTTGCCAGCACAGCAGTACTGGTATGGGGCAGGATAGAGGGGAGAGGGTTTTTTAATTCATGCTTTGAGTAAATACAGCTTTACAAATGTTCCTTTTGCATGTAGTCTAAGTGCCATTGACTTTCTTGACCCTGAAACTTAGGTTTCCTGATTCCTGGCTTGTCCTAGCCTTTGGCAGCCTATAAGTTTGACTGAGACGTAGGTGCACACAAGCCCCTTCTCCCCCTCTCTCCCTTGTGTATCTACAGGAAGAAAATACAGGTGTGAAGTCTGGGAGGGAGATGGGTGGTTTCCAGTCAGGTGCTCGGGTGACTGAGGAGTAAAACTGTAGGTTAATACTGCTGAGTGTACCTGCCCAGTCATCAAAACATTTTGTCTGAACCATTGTCTGTCAGCTAGAAATGCCCGAAAATTTTATTCTGAAGCACTCTCAAATGTGACTTGAACAAAAATTAAAAAAAGGGGGAGTTGAGTACCAGAGACTGTGGACAGTCATCCACATCCAGATGTTGCTGTGAGAGTACAAGGTATCTGTCCCAGCTGTTCATATTGCTGTCCTAGAGGTGACAGCCCCATCACATCTGCAAGTAAAACTGTTCATAAAACTGTTCTTTGACCCACTGAGGTCAAAATAAGCTGGCTTATTAAAAATGTACAATCATTAATGTATAAGCAACTCGCCTAGTAGATCATGGAGAGCATAAATCCAGGAAAGTAAAGGGTGGTTAAAAGCATCTGCAACCTTGCACAGTATTCTGGAAAGGATTGTTGATCCACAGCTTAAAACATCTTCTGAAGTTGGGACTGCAGTTTCTCAGCCACTCTGGTAATTTTGAAAACATTATCTTCACCTGGAAGGGATCAAGAGTATGCTTGCTTGATGGTGAATGTGGCAAAGGTGTGTGGGAATGTGGAAGCGAACTCTGTGTTTGTGTGACCGCCAGAAGAGAGCATGTTCTGTGCTTCAGGCCGGCACATGAAATGTTGGAAAGGGAGGGTGTTTGCCCTCCTGAAGGTGACAATGAACGGTGTAAACCAAGTCTCCAGAATCGATACCTGCAATGTGTCTTAGTCTCCTGTACAGTGCTCCACTTCAGGTTATGAGAAGAGGGCAAGGGCTAGTGAGTTAAATGTTATGCACTTGTCTCCAGTTCTGCTAAAGTATTCCTTTTTTTGTTAATTTTTTAAAAAAACCCAACTAACTGTAGATTGTTCGTTACAGTTAACAGATGACCAAAGGAAAATGGTGAAAAAGTTTTAATACTGGTCATTTTAAATAATAGGACATGTACAAATGTGATGTGTCTATCTCACATACCACCCTCTTGGAACAGATGTGAAGCACAGGACAGATGTTATTGTAAATCCCAGGAGCAAAAAATACTGAATAGAATATTTATAGCAGCTACCTATTCTCACTTACAGCAGCTAGAAAGTACAGTTTAAAATTAAACAAAATGATGGCGAGCTTGCTGTCAAAGGTTAGAATAAAAGCACAAAGGATTTTGTGCAGGCAGTGGGTTGAGAGATCGAGTGTTTGAAATCTAGGATATTAACTACAAGTGGATGCGCAGGCAGTACCGTTGGACATATGTTGGTAGCTTTATAAGCTAGCCTGTTGTTTTAAATCCCAGCCTTTATATAAATGGATTTCAGTAATCCACAAAAAACAGAGGAGATTGCTCTTCCCATTAACAAATAGACCAGTACAAAAGGAGTGGAATAGAAGTAAGACAAAACACACGTGATTTGTTATAATCACAAAAACATCAGGTAAACAGGAAGCATCTCAAGAAAAAAATCAGCAGAATGAACTTAACTTCAGGGATATTTTCTCTAGATGATACATCTGTATGGATCCAGATGATGCACAGGAGGTTGCAATTCCCTGTAAAATTTTGCACTTTATTTTTTGGTGATTTGATTCTTGTGAAGTGTTTGGTTTAGACTCGTAGCGTCATGAGGACTGCCGTGCTGAACTGGGTAGAAAGGAGATTGAACAGAATGTCTTTGAAATATATACGTAAGGAAGAGGTAAGCTGGCAGCAAGATAATAGAAAGTAGTGTAACATGAGTCTCTGGTGTTTAATTTGTGTATTCGATAAGGCTAGTGGGTTCTGCACCTTCTCTGGAACTTTCTCTGCCAAGCCTTTCAGTAATGGTCTGAGTTCCTTCTTTCATCTTTACAACTGCTTGAACAAGGCAAAACATGAACTCCGATGTGCTTGTCATTTTGAACTTGCTTCCTTCCAGAAGATTTTTCTGCTTTCCACTGGATTCTGCAGCACTTAGTGACTCATGACATGCTCTGATTCTAATTATAGCTCTGCATCAGTATGTTTTTCCTTTTTTTTCTTTTTTCCTCTTTTTTCTTTTTTTTTTGCATGTAGTCCTCTGGTGTGATGGTCGTTTTTCTGCTTAAACTATGGCTATGCCTCAGCCGGAAACTGGCTGGCTGTTTGTGTGTTTGGATACAACAGAATACTTTCCTGGTTTGCATGTTTGTAAAACAGACCTGTTCCTTGCCTGTTTGTAGAAAGGGTTGGAAGGTGTAGTTGAAACGCCCCACACTGCTAGCGGGTGTTTAGTGTACTGGGAGAGTGTCAGGTGGGCTCCAGGGACTCACCCCGGCAGGCGACTCGTTGCCCCTGGCTGAAGTCAGTGGAAGGACTGCAGTTAACTCACGGGCAGCTGCATTTAGTCCTAGTTGCATCTCAAATTAAGTCCAGCCCTGCAACTGGGACTAAAATATATACCACGTAAGTCATTTGGGTAGCTTCACTGAATTAGTTTTCTGGTTGTGTTAAATTTATGTTGTGTATAGCTGGTCTTGTGGATCCAACTGTGCAGGAAGAGAAGGCTGCTGCCCTATACTTACTCTCCACTGCTTGCACTTGCCCCTTGCTGCCACCTTCTCCATACCTTCTCACCAACTGCTGATTTTATTTTTATTCTTGAGTCAAAGGGAGGTACATTAGCAGAGATGTACAACTTACACTGTTTAAACTAACCTGGTTTATTCTGGCATTTTATTTTGGAATCCTTGCATGAGTGATGCTGAGAAGGCTGTAAGTCTAGCAGGGGAAAGCATAGGGCAGATCTTGGAGCAGTAATCTCTTCTGCTGTGTGTTTAAGATGCGTCTCTCTGCATTAAAGTTTATGTTGTTGGATTATAGTTAACCTTCAGTCCAGGTTTGACTCGAGACGTGCTCACCATTTATGAAGTTAAGTATATATGTAATCTTTGTATAAGAGGGTTTGGAGACTGTAAGCTATTTAGGCTGAGTAATATGCCATCTCACGTACCCATGCACCACTGAACTCAACAGAGCACGGCATTTGTCGTGGGCCTCGGGATACTTACTTAAATCATACGACGACAGGAGTACAAGGTGATGTGATCTTCTCTAGACACTGTACAGTCACAAACAGTTTCCAGCTTTGCAAGTTGCTTTAGCTGAAGTAATTGCTACTATTGGCAATAGTTTTCTGAAAAGTACGCACTCGTATTGGGATCCCTCTGACCAGTTATAGAATTACCTGGTAAATAACAGTTAACAATTTCAATGTGTTTTTTCCTTTTCACTGAAATCATGACTGTGTACTCTTCTGGTTTTGCTGCTTTAAACAATTTCAGAATATGTACTAAAAGCATACCAGTTAGTTCTGTTTAGACCCATTGTGTATCTTCATCAAGAGATCAAGTTAGCAAGTACTATATTTATTTTTGCTTTAAAGTTTATTTTCAAGTAATGCATAGTAATGTTTATGGAGCTATGGTGTCACAACTTTACTTCCCTTTTAAAATGAACAAAAATATTAATGTAGAGCACTACAACCAAGAAGAGATACGAAACACCACTCTATTTAAAGCTACTTAGAACATATATTTTGCAGCTTCTCAAAGGAGTTCAGTATGTGTTTCCTGTATGATAGTACTCTTTAAAATTCATAGCTCTCATATCAGGAGACTGCAAAAAACAAGCTTATTTTTCATGAAAATATTTTAGCTATGTTCTCAGTAAAAGTTACAGAATGTGTTCCTTCATTTCCTCTTCCCACTCTAAAATGATTGCCAGCCGCAGGGCAAAGGCTTCCTTTTTCTGTAGCTGTACACTTTACACATTATCACCATCTCTCAGAAGTTTTGTGGAATCCAGTGTGGTATTTCAGAAATGACATGTGGTCCTTTATGAAAACCACCAATTTCTCACCTTTCAAGAATTCCCAAGCATTTATTTTAGGCGAAGATGCTTGAAAGAACAGACATACTAACTGAAGTGGTACAGAACGTTATTGGTCATTAAGTTTTTATCATTTACAGTGTCCTAGGAAAAGTCTACATTTATACCTATGTTTTGCATTTCTCCTAAGAGAAAGCAGTGCTGCTGGCAATGAATAAGGAATGAAGAACATAAAAATTTTAAAGGCTAGATTACTTGAGAGTTGCTTTTTGTAAACTTCTGTAAGGAGGTTTCCAGAAGCGGAGTGACTTCACGGAAATGAGTTTTGCAGAGGAAAGATTGTATCGGAAGTAACTGTGTGAAATATGAACAGCAAAGGCTGTAAGAAGGCTGAGCCCGAAGTTGGTGGTCTTCCTACTAAGTAATAGCCGGTTGTGCTCTTGTGGAAGCTAATAGTGAACGTTTACTTTGCCACCATCTGGCATTGGCTGAATTGAGTTTCCACTTCTGTGTGAAGAAATTTGAACAGTATTTTTACTTTCTGATTTTCTTCTAAATGAGAGATCTCTCCATACGTAAGCTTTTCTTAAATCTAGCCCTACATGTTTACTCAGAAATCTGCCCTCCCATAAGACTGAATAGAGATCTTTAAATGCTCCTTATAGTTAAGATACTGTAGCTTAGCTGCCCATCTGTTTTGTTAATTAGTTCCCCTTAAATGTCAGTGGAAGTACTCTCTGTGTGGTAACAGTCTTCACAGCTGACAGCTGATGGACTCCCAGAAATCCCATACAAGTCATGTTTACAGTCTTAATTTTTATAGTTTGGGGCTATTTTAAAATAGTCTACATTAGGCTAATGATTAAAAAAAAAACCAAAACCAAAACCAACAGTGCCAGTCTTTGGCGTGTGTGGTGTGAATTTACTGTCTTTCAATTAGTATCTCAGAGGGGATCACTCAGATAATGTTTCCCACACTCCCCCTACTCTGCTAACTTTTTGACCTTGACCCTGAGCCAAATGTATTTGCACCTCACTACCGGGTGTCTGGCTGCAGCTTACAGTAATGCAGAAGTCATGAAAGAAATTTCGTCAACTATCTTGTAATCTCTGGAAACCTTCCCCTGTTTCGCTGTCAGTGGATCCTTGACACCACTGTTGAATCGGGAGCGCTGGTGTAAATGGGTGACCAGCCCACTCTTTGCTGTCCTCTCGACTCTGCCAGATGTGGTGGCAGAAAGGGATGTGCCAAATCTGCGTAAGCATTCCTGTTACCGTTACTTCTGGGTGATTTGCTGTAAAAAAAAAAGTTCAAAACGAAGGGGTTAGTGGTCAGTGGCTTGGGAAATAATGTCCTGTGACTTATGGACTGAGATGAGAATCACTTGATTTTTACGGAGCATGTACAGCTTTTGAGACTCGTTGCCTTGCCTTTTGACAGGCTTTGCTGGTACTCCGGGATACCTTTCTCCAGAGGTGTTACGAAAAGATCCTTATGGAAAACCTGTGGATATGTGGGCATGTGGTAAGAAATTATTCTGAAAGACCATGTTCAGTCCACTGTAAAGTATTTTGAGGGAGAGAGGTGATGTCCAGAATACATTATATTTTTGCATCAGATACTATGTGTTCAGTAAAATTCAATATTAATTTTTAGAAGAGGTCATTGGATTTTTTGTTATTCTACCAGCTGCTTCTTTTTTAAAAAATTATTTGTGAAGGTTACGTTATTATGGCATTCTTGGCCATGTCAACACAACACACTTTCACAAAGTATTCAAAAAAATAGCTGCAGGCGCATGATGCCTAACTAGTTAGAAAACATAACAATTCGTACTCGGAGCCAGGCCTTAGCTTTGGTTCACAAGCAGCCTAAAATTTGATCTGACCAGTATACTAGAACTGCAGTTTTAAACTGTGAAACTAAATACACTCTTGTGAACTGGTGTACAGAGGAATTACTTTATCATCCAGTTCTTGAAACAGTGTAGTTTAAGGTACTGATAAGTGGCAGCTGCCTAGCTGAGAAAAATTGGTGGTTTCCTTGTTTTACTTCTACCCACGCTTATTTGGTTGTATTTATGAAAGCACTTTTATTTAGTGAATCGTCTCTGTAAGACTAGCAGATGGACTTTTTAATTTCTTATTGACCATATATTTATACAGATAAATAGAGTTGCCCAAATTTTTTTTGCATGAGATTAGTTAAAACACAGTCCTACAGACACCGGTACAAACCATCCTAAAACCAGAGGTAAAAAAATGCGTTTTCCTAGAACATCCGTGATCATTGAAAATTATTTCTGCAGCTAGCTAGACGTTTTCGGTGTTCCTGATCTGATGTTGTGTCAGATACTCATTATTGCCCACACTCTCCATAGGAGGTTATCTTGTGAACCCTACATTTACTATTTTCTCCACTATGACTAGGCAGTAGTTTTCAGTAGCTGGGATAATACTGTTGAGCCATTTGTTTTACAGGGTTGTCAGGTGCGAAACAAATTTCTGGAGTTTGTTTCTTGAAATCACTAACTACTACTGTGACTTTTCCGCAGGTGTCATTCTGTATATCCTCCTGGTGGGATATCCTCCTTTCTGGGATGAAGACCAGCACAGGCTTTACCAGCAGATCAAGGCTGGTGCTTATGATGTATGTACCATACTCTGTCTAGTCAGTTACTTGTAATTGTAACTAACTCTAAAGAGGAGTTTTCTAGAATGCAAAGTGAAATTAGAATTATTTCCTAAATTTTTTTCTGTACTGGTTATCTTTATGAGCCACTCAATGTAGTAAATGTCACTTTAGGAACATGAACCTTATTGGGATGGGAACATCCTATGCTAATTTAAATCTGATTTCCCTATGGCTCCAGGCTTTCATTGTCTAGTCCTTGCGTAAATCATGCAAGCTTATGTTATCCTGACAAGCCTGTTCAGACCTCTGTGAACTCCCAAGGGCCTGTGTTTTTCCTTGTGGTTTATCCCTTCAACCAATCAGTTATTCAAAATTGTTTTTAAGAAGTCTTAAGCTTCCTAAATATACACCTTGATGCTGTCATATTGCCCACTTTTGGAAGTACAAGCTGCTATAGAGCTTTCCAAAAGGAATAGTTTCATTAACTGTGTGTATTCCAACAAAAAGCATTACAGCTGCTAGTAAGTAAGAGCCGATGATTTAGTGATATTATGAATTTTGCAACATCATCCATTTATATTATATTAAACAGAGGGAAGACTGTTGGTCCTCAGATTTAAGTAATTTGTGAACAATGAAGAAGACAGGACAGAACCTTGTAATTTTTAAGCTCTTCTTTGAATCCAGTCCTGGACAGTGATGACTGAAAAGGGAGTTGTTCTGCTATGGTCTATTAGTGAAAATAAACTTGTGGTCTGTCAAGTCTTCTTCCTAGTGAACGAGTAATCATACACTAACAAACAGGGTGACAGTGGGGAATTATGATTTCGGCTGAGAGGGCAAGAAATGAGGAAATGCAGAGACTGAATTATGCGTCTGCATTGTACATACATAGTACATACTTGTGACGTACTGTACCTAGATAATAACAAATTCCTGTTGTCTGAGAATAAATATTTTTCATAGTGGAAAACACAAAATCCTCAAGGTTAAGGTCTGTTCACAAACAGCAGTTTAAGACATGGGTTTTTTTCATTCCATTTGCATTTGAGCAGATGCTTGTGTGCATGTATAAATATTTTGCTGAGCAGAGAGGTGTTAAATTCAGAATTAGTTAGCTTTACGTACCATAACTATACAGTTAGCATTAAGATTTACATTGAAAGAAAGCAGACAAGGAGTTTGAATGATAATGCATAATATTTTTGTATTTATTAAAAGATAAACTAGGACTGTATCAAGTGCTGTACGGCCATATGCCTCTCAGATGACTAGAATTTGTTATTCTGTCTGCCATTGTTAGTTTATGCTATGAATTTCAATTTGCATCATGTTATTGTAAATATAGAAGTGCTGTGCGTTTGAACCAAATAAAGAAAAGGTCAAAATAGTAAAGGAGAAAAACAGTATTTATAAAACTGGTTAATTCAAAATTTTCTAATTGCAGCAAACTGCATTTTTCCCCTTTAAAACTGATTAGTTGTGCTAGCAATTAATGTTACAGAAATAGTATCAATAAAAATCCTTAGGTGAAATTGTGTAAAGATTGTGCAAGATAATAGACACATACGGGTTTTTTTTCTGAAGTTTCCCTCACCAGAATGGGATACAGTGACTCCTGAAGCAAAAGACCTTATCAATAAAATGCTTACCATCAACCCAGCAAAACGTATCACAGCATCAGAAGCACTAAAGCATCCATGGATCTGTGTAAGTAATCTCCACAGATTTAACAGGATAATTTGGCAGACAAATCAGCATATGGTTTACTTCAGCATATAGTGAAGGTGTTTAGAGGATAATTTTTGTACTTACTCGTGCAGCTGTGTAACTAGGGGAGTGTAGAATTGTAATTTTACAAATACAGTCAATAGCATTGTCTGTTGAGGTCTCAGCCTGGGATAAGATTTTTGCAGAAATGCACTCCTTTGCCTTGACTTTGTGGTGCAGAAGTTCACTGCCAAAATTAGAGCATAATTTTAAATTCTCAGAGGAAAAAAATGTAGAAGAAAGTAACTTTAAGCTAGGTAATACTTTATATCTTCATTTCCCTATAACCGTTACGATAAGCATGACATGTAAAGGCAGGAAATTAAGGGACTTTTCAAAGTCAATTTGCAGGTAGCAGAGGCTGCCTGTCTGTCACTGGATCCAGGAATACTTTCCAATTCTCAGTATATTCTACACTTTGACTTTGCAGGTAGTCTGGGCTGATACTTTGAAAGTCACAGTGAGACATCCAGCGAGTTCCCAGATCTTTGTTCTTTCCAGTAGGCTGCATTATCTTGCCTTTAAAACTGTGATGCAAATAAAGTTGAGTTACAGGGAAAATGCAGGTACCGCTGAATTTTCCCTGAAGTACTTCCTGCTGCTGTAGCTCACCTAATATCACTAATGCTAAAGAAAAGTTACCTTCTTGTTTTAAAACATATTTTCCACAATCGTAATTCAGTATATTACTTTGATTGTGGTTATACTCCATAACCCAAGTTCTAAGGTTTTGTGTTTTTCTTAGTCCCTGTTTCTTTCAAGAGGACTTTCACATGGAAAAGGCTGAGTAAAATGAGACCTTGGTTTTGTTGATTTGGAAATTTCCTGAATGTGTAGAAACCTGCACAAAGGGATAGTAAGGGTCGAAATAAAAGGCTGGAGTTTTGGACCATGTGGGTTGTAACATGTATGTTGTAGAGTAAATAAAATGCTAGACATTTGGCTGGGTGTGTTAAAATTATTCTTTTCTTCTTCTCTTAGCAACGTTCTACTGTTGCCTCTATGATGCACAGACAAGAGACTGTAGATTGCTTGAAGAAATTCAATGCAAGAAGAAAACTAAAGGTAAGAATGAAAACTTCTGCAAGAATGAGTAGTTAATTTTGGAAAGATAAAAGAATGTTACCTTGTGTTCCATGTGTAAAATAAATGGTCCCTAAGCAAATTTTTTCATGGAATATTGTGCTTAAATGAACTATTTGATAGATGGTCAGCTTTTGGCATGAGGATCTTAAACTTTTCATGAAAGTGAGTAGAACATAGCATAATTTTGTTGGATTCAAAATAATAACAATCATCTTCATTTATACACGTTAAAAATATTTTGTTGAGGGAAGGTCCTTAAGGTTATTCGTTTAGATTATCCTTTGTTTTCTCCTGACCAGCCAGGATAACTTTGCAGATGTGGACTTTTCTAATTAGCACATTACAAATAAACTCATTTTCCTACCTGAAAAAAAAATCTAAGCACATTAGTAAGTCTGTTTCATATTCAGATATATTTTGCTGATAATTACCGTGCCTGTGAGTATTCATGGTTTGTGCATTACATACGCACAATCGGTAAATATTTGAGATTTTCAGGATGCCTGATAGGTGTGTAATTAAGATTAAATCACAATTTATGCACTCAAGGCATCGCATATGATTGGTAATGCACAGACAATCCATCTTTTCAGGGTTAATTCAGTAATTGATGTAATTTACGTGTGTGTTTTCCTTTTTGTTGTGTCATGTTCACATTCAGAATTTTACACAAGTGTGATACTAATTTGCGAAAATGTATGTGTACACAGGGGGCCATTTTGACAACTATGCTGGCTACCAGAAATTTCTCAGGTATGTTCATTGAGCTCCAGATTAATATGGTCTTTATGTTTTGCTGTCTGTGAGGACAAAGATCTAACAAAGATTCATTAGTACAGAAAGATCTTTGTTATTCAGGAGCATCTAAATATGATGTATCTTAAGTGGTTTCCTTTGCAGAAGCAAACAAGAGAATTTAAACTATTTGGGCCAAATAGAATCCCTTGTAGATGACAGTCTAATTTTTCAGTAGAATGTGAGTTCCTTCTCTTTGCTTTTTTAGTGTTATCTGTCAAAAGGCAGATAGTGTTTTTCTGTCTATTTTGGTGGAGGAAAATCGAAAATAATGCATATAGCTCCACATGCATAAGTGTCACCAAACAACATTTAAAAACTTACTTATTTTTATATACCTGAAATGTCATTCCAGGGTTCTGTTGCATCCTGTATTTGAAAAAAACAAAACAAAACACATTCATTCTTTATTACTTTCCTAAGGAGTAAGAAATGTAGTAAAATGAGTCCTCCTTTTCCTTCTCTTCTAACACTCAATTTGATGTAACAAGAGATGTTTCCTCTTTATGAAATAATTTTGTAGTGATATCCCTGGGATTTAGGTCTTTCTACTAAACAAATTTTAATAGAGAAAGCTAAAATATGTTTGCTGATAGTAAAGTTAGAATTGTGCTCAATAGGAGTATTGCCAAAATTTTGATGCTATGCTAAATTTTTCATTTTGCCATTTGAGATTTCAAGAGAATAGTGAAAAAGAAAGCCAAACTTAAAAATCAGTGATTTTACATATCCTCCTATTCTATGATGTAACTGTTGGAGTGTAACCTAAATTAATTTACAGACAAAACCATGATAGTGCTTTGGGCATGTTTTGGATAATAATAAGCACTGAGTCATCCAGATTAAATTACATAATCAAGAATGCAAGAACAACTTGTTCAGTTTGCATAGTACTTGAAATACAATTTCTTTCTTAGTTAAGTTCCTGTATTTAATACACACCTATAACACAGAAGACTGTATTTATGTAAATTGAGTTAATGCTTAATGAATTGCCAGTATCTGCCAATTCATTTTGAAGGTGGGAATGCTGTAGTCTGCGTATCTTGTAAAGATGAATTATTATTAAATATCAAACAAATATATCATTTGTCATCACTTTTCATAACTGTCACTGTCTATATATGTAATGGTCAATTTCAACTTTCATGAACCAAAAAAAGCTGAAGGAATTTTAAAATAGTATTTTGACATGAAAAACAAACAGGGTTTTTGGCTTTATTTTGGATTTTTTTCACTTATCATCTCTGTTTTACACCATAACGACCCATATTTTTCCTGATGACATTTTATTTTTTCAAATTGTTTATTCATTGTATTTCATTGCAAAGCATGCTTTTGAAGGTCATTGTCCATAATGATGTGGTTATAAAAGTGTTTTATTTTCCTTTTTCTTTCTTCCTTTTATGTGGAATGTATATTTCTTGTGAGGTAAGACCCTCAGCACGTGAAAGGAACATCTTTCTTCTCTTCTACATCAGAATTGCTGTTTGTCCTAAAACACTTTAATTTCTACATGTTGTCACACCACCATTTCTTTTCAGTCTGCTTTCTCGCCTATTAGCGCTGCCTTAGGTTTTATTTATAGCTATTGCTTGTAGTTGCAAGAAGTCTTTCATTGTGGGCTTAATTTAGAATATGCTAATTGCTTTGCTACTGCAAATTCTTTAAATACTTGATTTGTATGCAGTATCTGTGCTTAAAGAAGGATGCATCAAAATATTATTAAAAATACATTCCAAGCCAAAACCAACAAAGGCAGTTGAGTGTGGAATATGTCCTATAACATAAAATACTGCATAATAATCCATACTAGGCGCATTTCAAAGGACATGCTGGCAATGCCATCAACACAGTACGTGTAGTTATTGCTTTTGGTGCCCTCATTTTACTGGCTTTCATTTAATTGTTTACATATAACATGTAATGTTTCTTAAGCATTAAAAGAACTCAGAAGTTTTATGCACAATTTAGCAAAAAGACCTAGTTTGTTATGAACAGCAGCCTATGAGAATTAATTTGTTTTCCCATATTTTTGTAAGGGATAACGGTATAAAACAGGCTTCAAAAGCAATGAACTTCTGGGGTTTTGGCCTTAGGTTTTAGAAACAGCTCCTCCCCTTCGCTTTCCCTAAAGGAATTTCTGAGGTTAATGGAGTGCCCACAATGCTTGTGGCAGTGTAAAATCTAAGGCCGTGTTGCATCAGGTCCTGTAAGCACACGTTGCAACAGGATGTATCCTATCTCAAAAATATATGTAAACCAATTTATTTTCAATATTAATTTACATGTTTCTGTAAATTAAAACATGCAGTGGTCCTGTTGCATAATATAGGCAAATTTATTTTTGTTCATTTTAGTTGTAAATCGTGGGCCTTGTGAGAGTTTCAATGGCAGTGTTGGCTGATGTCCGTAATTGAACTGCATTCGGAGGGCTGATATATTAATTAAATTATAAACATTAACCTGGCTTCACTTTCCAGTTTTTTTAATGTAAACTATATGGACAATAATGGACATTAGCTATTTCTGTACAGTTTCCGAGGCGATCTTACATCTTCGTACTCTGAACCAGAGCTAAATGAGCACTTAATGCGGATGTAGCTGGAGAAGAAGCCACAAATACAAAAAGTAACTTCAGGTTTAAACCACATACTCAATAATTCCGATATCCCCAGCTAGTTTGAGTAACCCTAGGCTTGCAAGGTCCAATTGTTTTGGGTTTTTTTTTGTTTTAAAGAGAAGGATGCTGGTAATGGTGGGAGCTCCATGTCAGGACTGGTCCCCCTGTGATTATGCCAGATTGTTAGCTGCAGCATTTCCCTTTCAAAAAGGCTTCTTACTTCTAAGCAAAACAGCCTATGTGGAACAGCTCTTTCTTACAACCTAAGCCGTGATACGCTTTCTGATAGGAAGATTGGGTCATAAACAACAAGAAGAACAAAATATGCCAGGCTTGTTTTGTAATTTATTATTCTCCAAGTCTTTGGCAGTGAGTCATGAAGCCTTTATGCTTTAGTGAATAGTTTATTTGAATTTGGTAGGTCACCCAGCATGTATTTCTGCTGTAAATGTTTTCAGGTTCCGAGCTGTGGTGTGCTTGTTTGCACTTCAGCCCTCCAAATTTAGGAATGTGGAATGATTTGGCCCTGTTCTTGGTGGCAGTTTTAAGTGGTGGAATTTAAAGCCTAACACACGGATTACATTACAGCAAGGGCAATTTTGCCCAGTGGTCCCCACCGCTTTGAAGAAATTCGATCAGTGTGCAACATGATTCAGAAAAGAACAGATTTTCTTCATTAGAAGTTGAAGCAAAGTCTATCATTTGTTATTGTTAACTCCTAGGAAGCATGCCTCCAAAGCAACACTTCGCTAGCAGATTATTGTTCTTCCTTTCTTACTTGCAACTTTCCTGACCTTTCACGCAAGGTGACTGATGCTGTCATGGTGGGAAATCCCCAAAGAACCGTTGCTCAGAGGTGCTTTTTTAATACGCAGTTTACTTTGCGTTAGGTGGAATAGATAGTATTGTACCTCACTATGCTCTTTAGGTGCCTTAATGATCTGATATTGGTTACATATTAATAACACATTATAATATAGTATTATATATTAATAACATCATTAAGATACCAGTGGGCTCTACAAACACCTGGTCAAAGTTCCCGCCATCAGAACAGTACTTTTTCATAGTTGTATCAAACTATCCTCATCAACAATTGTAAATGTATTGCAGTTGAAAAAATGGAACGTATCCAAAGCTGCTGCTTTCACACTCGCCCTGCTTCCATTTCCTCTAAGCCACCCAAGGAGGTCTCTCCTTGTATAAGTACAGTTAACCTACAGCTTTAATCAATGGAAAAAGTGATGTATGATAATCTTAAGTATTTGTAGTTTCTTAAATATTTCGTTTCCTATACTCAGAGCAACAAAAGGAGGAAATAAAAGCTGAAAATGTATCTGCAGCTGGGAGGCAATGGGGGTTTGCTGCGCAGCTGGTTGACCTCAGTGGTAACCACCTGACCGAAATTATTTGTCTGATTTTACAGCAGCCAAGAGTTTACTGAAAAAGCCGGATGGAGTTAAGGTAGGTTAAACACAAGCTTTAAAATAGATTTTATTAGTCACTACCTATCTGTAACTTCTGCCGGGTTTTAGAATTAATTATTGTTATTTCTTTCCTTTATAGAATTTGTTAATCAGTGCTTCTTACCATATATTTGGAAAGATGAGAGTTAGTATGTGATGCTTAAAAATGAAATAAAAGAAATACTTGAAAAACAAGGATTTTAATAAGTGGAAGATAGAAAACTACTGGAGAAAATACTTTTCTTGATATTTTAATGAAGGATGATTGTGTAACTAATGACTCAATGTTATTAATTAGCTTATAAATATAAATTAATGGCTTGGTGGTGGGCATGTTAGTTTTTTTAGGTATCAGTGTTTATCTGCAGCTCTATCGCCTTCGTGTTTCCCCTTGACTTTTTGTTAGATTTCATGGAAGACCAAAAGTTTACTGGTAGGCTTGGCTCCACATGAGGTGTATTCTGCCAGATGTACTTGCTATATTTGGCAGAACTTGAGGGGTTTACTATCTCAACAAATCAGCTCATCCTGACTAATAGACCTTGCTAAGAAGGGAACATTTTGGCAGCTTTCATACATGATTTAGAGCTCCTATTCTCATGTCACCGGATCCTGCAGGAGGAGAGATGCTTCACAAATGAACGTGCTGGATAAATACTTTGAAAAACAACCAGAAAAAAAAAATCACTCAGCAATGAAAAATATTTTATTTCTTTTCTCAGAGGACTCCTGAAGGCTAAAATAAGTGCCTCAAGCTTTCATTATATGATTCAAAAGATATTCTTCTGTGCTCTGTGTGTTCACTCAGAAGTGTGTCTTTGACCTGAATTTTAATTCTCTATTTAATCTTAACTTTGTACTTTATCAAAACATTGCATACTTAAATACTAGATTCATAGTATATTTGTTCCTGTTCTCCCACATACACACACTTTTCCTGTCAAAAAAAAATAATCATGAGACTGACTTAAAATGAAGTGAGTACACTACGATTTCAATGCTTCTCACTGCCAAGTAGTAGATATCCTAGTTATATGGAGAAGCACGCATTCAGTGCTACTCTATCATCCCCATGGAAAACCCTTAAAGTGTTTTATTGTGGAATATATAAATTTTATGTACTCTATTATCTGACCAGCTTTGCCTTTTTAAATATCATTCCTCCTACAGGTCTATGATGGTATTTGTTATGTCTCAGTTTTGATTATAATATTGGAAACAATTGTTGCCAAAATTTTGCCTAAATTACACATGTTGGGATTCAATACTTTAGTTTTCAGCACATTTTATGTGTCTGCTGTTTGTCTGCATGGTCATGTGGAGCAAAGGGAGTAAATTTACATCTGGGGAAGTCTATTTTTGTCATTTTGTTATTGAGATACTATATAATCCATAGCATTTTTCCACCCCTTCCTACAGCTTAAGCTGTCTTTTTCTTAAAAAAAAAAAAAGCCAAAACAGAAATATACTGTACTCCATGCATTGAATTGATACTTCAAATCCAACCAGTCACATTTTCTTCTTTTCCTTTCTCTCTGACTGGTCAATTCAGAAAAGGAAGTCCAGTTCGAGTGTTCAGATGATGGTGAGGATCTTTATCGACAGATTTTTTTCCTCCTGTGAAACGTTCACACCTAGAAATCAAACAGTTGCATTTAGTTTTGTTACCATACTGTGAGAAGCTACAAGTACAACCTTGTGAATTTTAAGCCTGCAGTTGATATATGCTATCCACAGTGGATTGTTCTGCAGTTCTGTCAAGCAAGTTTGTTTTGTTTTTTTTTAACTTGGGGACGTACAAAACCAGAAAAGTAGATGTAACATTGGCCAATGCAGCTGTCCTTCGTAAATAAAAATAGTAACAATAGTAATCTCATAACAGCCTTCTCTTAATTTTTAACACTTCCTTATTTTAAAAGCTAATACTATTAATATCATAAAATGTAACACAAACCACATTGCACAGTGAAATAGTACTGCTTTAATTGAGCCACCATAGAACAAGATGCCTTGCTAAGTGCTCAGGAGTTAAAAAACCAATTTCACAGCCTTTCTGTGCTGCAGTTTCCCAGCTAACTTCCTTCACAGCTCAGGGCTTTGTCACAAGATGTCCCAACTGACAGTCAAGTCTCAGTAACTTTTCTTCCTTCTCAACCTACTCTACAGTCTTGCGTTCAGTTGGCCTCTGTGATCCCACACAGCAACTCACTCTGTTCCTGTTCATTACGGTTTTGAATCTGACTTTGAGGTGTTCATAATGGTCATCTGTGATGTCCCAGCCAACTTCTGTTGCTGCTGCCGGTAGAGAGAAGGCAAATATCCCTCATCCACACCCTTCACTGGGAAGCAAAAGTCTCCTTGAAAAGCAAAAATTGCTGGTCAGGTCTGAGCAGACATGTAGTTATCTAGATAAATAAGCTGTTCTTTGGGTGAACATAGAATTTCAGGGCCAGAGGATCAGTGGTAGCAGTGTCCAAATGAGGGTCACCGGAAAGGTACGGCGGGGCTATTTTTAGTAGCCGATAATGTGAAGTGTGCTTTAACTTTTTGTTACAGAAGTACCATGTGAAAGATTAAGTCCCAAGATACAGGTTTTGTTTCTTAAAATATTTTTAGAACATATTGAAAAAAGACCAATAATGGTTCTACAGTCATGCCCAGCTTTTTGGAGCGTTTGTGTGTGTCTGTCCTGCACTACTGTCAGACCTAAGAGAGTGGCTCTTGACAAGCGATGCATTAGTATAAAAGCTTTCCTTCTTTGCAACAAAGAGATGGTCACCACTTAAGCACAATTCAGCTTTAGAATAACTGTTTCATGAGAAAATATTTCACTCCTTTTGGAATCATTTCCCTTTGCTGTTAAAAATATATGCAAAGTACACCATGCGTGTTCATATATTAATAAAAGCACATTTATATGTTCTATGAGAGAGAGAAAGTGTACAGGCTTATTGCTCTTTTCTCTCTGAGTTTCAAAGCGTTTTCACCAAGTTCTGTTTACACAGAAGAAATAACTGTATTTTGAATCGCATTATTTCTTTCTGCTTTTACTAATGAATGCTGTATTCTCAATATCTTACTAAGAAGTTTTGAATTATTTCCTGCAGTTTTCAGCAGTAGCTGTAATGGATATTGTTTATTTTTATAGGACTTTCACCAAGGGAGTATGGACCCAAGCCTGCTCTCCTTACTCAGGCAAAATTGGAATTGAAATTTGATTAATCTGTTTTCATTATGTATTCAACAACAAGCATTCGTTTGGCATATCACTTTATTTTTTGTATTAAGCTACTACTGAATAGGACTGTATGAAATCTGGTGAAATCGTCATTTCTTTCCTATGTTTTTGCTTTATGTCTATCTGCCTTTTGTTAGGGCCTTTTTATTTGTAGTCTCCTGATGACTACACTGCCATAAAAATATGAACTTGTAGTTATACAACTTGATTCTAAAGGTCCCTTCCAGCCCAAATGATTCTGTGATTCTATGATATGTGATTTTTCTCTTGTTTTGAAAGATTTAGTATACTGTCAAACAGTGTTATATGTGTTTTTCACTGTTCCACAATTCTCCTGTAGAACTTTTTATTTCCTGAAGTGGTTAGGTTTTTTTTTTTAAAGTTTTTTCCTGAGTAAGGAGTTCGTGTTTTGCCCATCTTACAGTCCCATAAATATCAAGGCAAGTTAGTTGATCTATAAAATACTTGCTAATACTTATGTCTCCCCATGAATGACTTTATGCACAAAGGTATTTATTCTCTCCCTGTCTTGAGTTCAGGCACCCCTCCAACTTATGGCTGTAATTCTGAATAGATAAATGAAATTTATTTGACAATAACTAGACCAAGATGGGGCATAAACTAAACACTTGGAACTCAATAATGACTCATATTTTCTCTTAATGACAATTTCTGTAGAAAGACCATTGTTAAAAAAGTAACTGTTTCTCATCCTCCTGCTGTAGAGCACTGTGAACTTGGATTTGAAATCAAAGAAAATTATTTTTATTCTTTACAGGAGAATGGTTCCTATCGCAAATACTACTAAATAACATTTAATGTCAAAATAATGTTCCCTGGCATTAACTGACAAGACTGCTTTATATTCTTCAAAGCCAGCTAAATGCTGGTTAAGATAAGGAAATTTGCAGTCTGTAATTAATCAATGCAAATCCTGTTGACATTTCCATAATCTAGACATATCCTAAGTAAGATTCAGTTCAGCTGCAGGCTTAATTCCTGCAATCACCAAGTCAGCTGCCACACCTCTACCAAAGTAAAAATAATTACCAAAAGCTGCTGAGGACATGAAGTTCAGTGAATTTCCCCAGTGGTGCTAACTTCTGAAGGCTTGAATTTAGCAAGGCCCTTGGGACAGACAAAACTTAAATGTTAGCTGCATGCTGAGAAGCTGAATACTTCATCTGAGACTACAGAGTCATTGGGAAGTTTAAATCAGAAGTGTTTCATACAGAGCTCAGTCCGGTCTGCTATTCTAGGACTTCCTCTTTCTTTATGCCTTTTCAGATATGTTACTTAGCATATTGCCATTTTCTAATTGGTTTAGAAAGACTCTTAGAAGAAAAAATACCAAATTTTGACCCGAAAATTGCTAGTTTGTTTCTTTCAATGAAGTTAATTACATTTTTACAATAATCCGTTAACAAAACAATTTTGGACTTTTTTTTCCTTTGTTTTGCACATTATTATTGAGTACTGTGACTAGAAAGTTCAGTAGAAGTTTTCGGTGGGGGGGGGGAATCACAGTCTTTCCAGACAATATATATCTATATACCCAGTTCTGCATGCCGCTTTGGACTGCTCGTGTTAAAATTAGACGTGACCAAAATGTACGTAATATTTTTTCCTAATTATTGTTAAAGAAAAAAATTACGTATTTCAAACTAGTTTTACTGTACTTTAATCTTGCTTCTTAGTGCATGTAAAAAGTGGCTTGGTACATTATTTTTAGTATTTCTGTTCTTTTCATACCACAATATTTATGAAAGCTGAATTTTCAAAAATGGATTTAAAGAATCAGATACCTTCAAACTTATTGCTAAGCAGTTTAATTTGAATTAAAATTTTGTATAAGTAAAAGCCAAAAGTCTTTTAAAGGTGTAGTACTGTGCTAGACTTAAGAATTAAGACGATGACCTACATGTAGAGTTAGCAGATATGTACTGATTTGTGGAGTAAGATTACAGATAGTATAGCGTGAAGCCTTACACTTTCAAGTTAAAGTACCAAAATTGAGAGGCTGATACACATTTACTACGGGATTCTTGAGACTGCAAAAAGTCACAGCTGCCAATTATTTTTGTTTAAAATAACACCAAAAAAGCTAAAGAGGCACCAATGTCTGTCTTTCTAGTATCAGATTCAGATCTGGAATCAGTTTTTTTTTTTCAGATCTGTTCCCAGAAGCCAGTAGACCGAATCTGTAGATTTCTGGAGAGCTATGAATAATCAAGTATTATTTATGGTAGTGATAGCTAATTAGAAATAAGGAACAACCGGGTGCAAATACTTAGTACTGTTGCATGTCAAGAAGTCACAATGGCTATTTAGGACTTTCTTCAAACCCATATTAATTCTTTATTCTTCTTAAATATGATTAGCTGCTACTTAAAGGCTCTGTTCTTTTAAGTGTCACAGCTGAAGTCATCTATACCTTATATAGACCTTTCTATAGGGCATCCGAAAACCTATAGCTAGCATGTTTGGAGGGTTTTCAGCTAGCTAATGGATCTATTGTTAGTGTTCTTTCAAGTTCATAAGTTCATCTTTCTGTGATTCTTTATTTCCATATCTATATCTATATATAGATACCTATATCTGTATATAGATGTTCTATACAGAGAGGTATAGATAACGATGCCTACCGCGAGTTCTAAGGCCTGTCTGTTTCTATTTTCTGCACACCTACAGATAAACAACAAAACGAACGTGGTAACCAGCCCCAAGGAAAATATTCCTACCCCGGCGCTGGTATACCTGGAATCTTCCTTCTCATGCTATCTTGAAGTTTTTGACTGTCTTCTGTTCGTTTTTCCTTCTTTTTTGCTTTTTCATGCATTTACTCTGTTTGCTTTCTAAAAACAGGTTTTGGAAAAACTTTTTGTTTGAATTATGCTTTCTTTTTTCTGTGAGGAAGTCCATTAGAGAGCGTGTTTATTGATAGAAAATGTTACATGCAAGCTGGTTGCAGTGGAGTCATGGCGTTTGTAACTGTAGTTGAATTTTTTGCATGCTGTGCCAGAAAGTGAGTAGAATGCCCTTTATGTTGCTCTTAGCTCTTTGCCTGATGACTGTTTCCATCTTTTTGATGCTAACCTTTCGCACAAAAAAAAAAACCCAACCAAAAAGCTCTTACTATTTTCTCTGTTTTGTCTTGGTATAAGTGTTGATATCAAAGAGAGCTAACAGGATTATTGCTAGGCTACCATCAAATAGACCTTATTCAGATTTTCATTCCATATTTCCTAAAACTCAGCAGGACTTTGCAAGTCTTCACTGGGATCAAGAGGCATCTACTGCTAAACATTTTTACTTGTTTCTCTTAAGTTTAAATCTGCAGGAGACATGACTCATTAATAACCTTTGTTAGGAACATATTACTAATTGGAGTACTGTTCATGAATGTTTCTGTAGCAGTCTTGCTTTTATTAGTAGCTCCTATTTCTTAGGCATACATGTATGACAGAGCTCACAAACATAAATGCCAACGCATAAGTACCTAATTTTGTGAGAAATTGTTTCCTGTATGCCTGCATATATAGTTTTGAAAATGTCGATAATTCACACGCATTGGGAGAGGTTTTTCCTCTTGAATTTTTTTGTGCAACTGGCACTGAAGCAGACATTGCCGAGTAATTTTTGAGGCCCAGTTAACAGGTTTCATGCATGACTATGTGGCGGTCTGTTCCCAGACATAGCTATGCACAGTAGTCCATGCTGAAGGTATGCTGGCTAACTGCCATTTCAAAGATTATTTAATCTTTTTTTAAGGGAAAAGGAATTGGGGAAATTACATTTTAAAATGATGCAGCGATCTCTCTCGCTTATTTTTATGCTGCTCTGCCAAGGCAGCAATTGGTAGTAATCTACATCTTTCAAAACACGGTAGTGTTTAGAAGTAGTTAACTCATCCTTAATCCTTATCGATTCCCCTGTATATTTATTGGATCACTTAATACTAATACAAGCAAACATGCTTAAAGAAAAGAGGTGATTTCTGGCCGCCTTGTCTGGCCTGGCTCGGACAGGAAAACGCGCAAAGCATTTAGTGTGCCCTTGTGCAAAAGAGAGCCTCTGCAGGTCTCCAGAGCTTCAAAGCCCTGTGTACGTTGGTCATGAATAAGGTCTCTGCATGCTGCTGCATTAGGTGAGATGATCTTTTTTGCTGGCTTGCTGTTGGGGAAATCTGTGTTAGAGACATCCAGTTTCACCCTCTGGCAACAGTTAACATCTGTTTTAGCTCTTGTCAGTGTTCAGCGGTTGTGAGCTGGCTCTTCTTGCACTCCCTCACACTAATGAGAATGTGTTTACCAATGGGAACTCTTTTTCTCTTTATTTTGTTCTCGCTCAGGAGCCCCAAACTACAGTAATCCACAACCCTGATGGAAATAAGGTATTCAGAAAGAATCAACTCCATCTTGCTTTTCCACACCACACATTTCATCCACTATTCCGCAGCAAAATAGGGCCATTCCAGGAATTTATCAAGGAAAATCTCATTCCTGCATTTGTTACCCCTGATGTCTCTTGCGCCTGTTTTCATCTGTGTTTGTCTCTACGTGCATCCTGCTGATTGCTGAGCTTCTGAAGCTCTTGGGGGAGTTGGTAGCAGTTGGCAGAGTTCGGTACCCTGTGCAGCCAGGCTTGGGGAGCATCGTGTCTCTCTCATTTCAGCCAAACATGCTGCAGTCTAAGTAAAACCAAAGAACGCTGTTCTCAGAGTGTGGTGAGATTATACTGACAAGTTTTGTGTGCAGTTGTCACTTTAGATAAAGATGTCATTTCATTTTATCCCATCTGCTGTTCCTCAGCATGCTTGTACACCATGTTGTGACGTGTCTTTTGCACAGGACTTTGGTTTTCTTCCATAACATCACTGATCGGTTTCCAAAAAAAATTTTAACATTTCAAGTGACAAAGAGGTCTTTTGATTTTTCTACGTTTTCTTCATGCTTTTTTCTTGTGTATTGTGATGTTTGTGTTTGGCAGCTGATTTCTAAAACATGTTTTGTTTTGTTTTTTTCATGCATGGACTTGAAAAGGGCCAGGAAATATCATCATTTACATATAACACATGTTCCTAGGTTTCCTGGAAAGAATTTACTCTTCAACAAAAATTTCACTGTTTACAGTGTTGACTTAAAGAATTGACATTTCATTTATCTAGTCTTAACTACTTGTGGTTTTTTCACATGAGAAGGATTGAATCTGAGTGAAAAAATAGCGCATGCAGACATTTCTCAAGCATGAAAGTGCCGATGGTGTGTATTGTGCTTGTATATCCCATTCCTTTGTGTACCTTGCATCTGTCGAACATAGAGCTTTTATTGTCATGTTACTACTTTTTCAGCTCCCCAAGTTTAAATTCATAGGCAACAAAGAGCCTGTCTTTGAACACCAGTCTAATCTTTATCGCTGAAGTCCGCTAAAGACCAGAAAACCCAGATAAAATATTGGCGTGACTACATCTACTTGACTTTACTATAGAATCATATCGATTAAGATATTCAATGTCCCAAAAGGTCACAGCAAACAAGCAAGCCACTTAATGCGGAGTGTTACTCCTAAATTTGTCTGAAAGTCTGATCCTTGTAGTATGGCAACTGGAGTGGATGCTTCAGTATTACAGGCTACATCTGCCGTGTGAGCTTGTGCATGGTGTTTACAACTTGTATTTGTGTAGGGTTTTCATTACTTATAAGTACTTTATCTAATATTTTAAGTGAATAGAGCATGGTACATCTGTGTAGAGTGAAACATCTAACACCAGCCAATTCAGGACAAGCATGGTGACTTGTTCAGTTTTGTTTGTTTGTGTGAATTAATTCATGTAGTTTTGTTTATGGATGCACATACATTTTGGTTTTTTAAGGTCTGAGTAATGCATTAGCCGTTTTGAACGTTCCTTCGGCTCAGCCTTGTGAGGACACAGTAAATAAAGGGCACTGTCAAATTTACCTTTTATTACTTAATTGTAAAATCCTTCTAAGAGTTAAATACAATACCAGTCTTATCTTCTGTCTCTCAGATAAAAATGGACCAGTTAATCCTTTTTGCTGTGGAGCTGTAAATAGAAAAAAAAATAATTATATTGTTCTTCTTTTCAAGAAAGTATGCAGATAAATAAAATCAAGTTTCAAAACTTTCCGGCTTTCTAAGACTATACCTACTAGATTTGACAGTGCCCTCTTGAATTTACCCGTAATATTTCATGTTTCTTGTAATTCATGAAAGACTGAGATACAGTATCCTTGCCTTTTTAACAGTGTGGTGGCTTAAGTATAAACTGTCTGATAGATGAGTCATTCCTCTGCATGGCTGGTGGTTTGAAGAATACTGCTACGAAGATACCTTAGTTTGTCAAAGTCATTATCATATATTTATCAATTGTCCATCTCCTTCAAAATTTTTTTTATCACAAAAACAGAATAAAAAATGATAGAATCTAATACAATATCCTTAAAATCAATGGGAGACTTTGTTTTAATATACATTGCATAAGTCATATGAGCAGAAAAACAATTGTAAATTGCAGCATGCAGAAACCTGCGTATTTATAAGTTGGAAGGGAATGACTTATTTTGCACAGTTGGTTTAATCACTAAGCTTAAAATGGCAAGCTCTCCTACTTGGCTGAGGTAATTCATATAACATTTCACATGGACTTTGTACAGTTGAATGTTAAAGGAAAAAAAGCTTCCGTTACATTCCTGTGAAGTAAAAGCATTAGACAGCAGGAAATGTATTTATGTTCCCTACTGTAAAGAATGGCAATGTTTGACATCAGATTCAGGTGGAAATGTCTTAATCAGTGTGTGACCATTTGTTTGTGAATTACATCCCACCCTGCTTCAAGGCTTTGCATGATATCTGTAACTAACTGTAATTTTCAAAGGCGCGCAAATGTGGCTTGGCTTGTTTTGTACATTCTATTCCTATTTACTTCTCAACAGGAATCAACGGAGAGTTCCAATACAACCATTGAAGATGAGGATGTGAAAGGTATGATTTTGCACTTGAAACATTTGGAGGAGCAATAGTGTGAGTTATGTGACTTCATTAGGTCATTAAACACAGCAATTCCTAGTGAATCTTAAGAGAGAAAACTGTTTTTCCTTCTTGAAAAGAAATTACTTTTATGCTCTTCTGTGTTACTTCTGACAGTTTCCGATTTACCTTTGACTTTTCATTTCCCAAAACACCATTTGCCATGATGTTTTGGAATGAAGAATATAAAGTTACTGCTTATTAACTAAGATACTAGTTCCAGTAATAATAGTAGTAGATTAAAAATATGTAAGTCAGTGCTTTGTAACTCTTACTTAGTTTATGTACTTTTAGCATGCATTTGTGTTTTGGATTTGCCTTTTTTTTATGTCACTGTTTTAATTTTCGTTCTGTTCAGATGCCAGTGTTTTTTCATGTTTCTCTTTTGTTCTGTCCGTACCCTTATTTTCATCTTCTTTTATTCTTTAAAAAACTAAATAGTTTTTTTTATAAAATCAGTTCTGTAACTTCATAAATACTGGTTTTGTTTCCATTTTTCCCCTCTAGATATTATACTGTGATGTTATTCATACTTACTTTAATAACATTGTGTTTTAAAACAAAAGGTTTTTAAAAGAAGACTATTAGATTTGTGTATTTCTGTTTCACATAAAAGATTGTTTTTCAGCCTCAAAGAACAATGTTTATATGTACCGGTGAAACACAAGCCAGAGGTGATAGTAAAGATAAAATGTGGAGAATGGGAAAGAGAATTCTTAGCGAACCATTGTAATACGGGGCTTGCTTTATGTTGGAAGTAATATAATGCCTAAGTCACTGTTAAAAGCATCTATTAGCAAAGTTGTGCCCTAAAATACAGACTTGAATCTGCTAAAGAGCTTCATTGGCCTCTGAAGAGCACGTGAGTGTTTTAGAATTTAAAAAGATTCAAACGTTAGGTAGAATTGTGTCAAAAATATTTAGTTCTTGGTTTCTGACTGGCAGAACAGGTGCTATGCACGTTTGATAAAAATATCCGTATTGCCCAGGTAATAGATTGATAGCGTGAGCATGAAAGCACAGTCTGCTGGTAGCAGGAGCACGGTGTTGAAAGTGCAGCTTTTCTGTTACACTGCATGTGAGATTCACGGGGCATTTATGCCATGGCAGCTTAGCTCGGGCTTGCACAGGCTGCAGTCTGCTGCGCTCCAGGAATTTCTCTACTTGTGCATAGTTGGTGTTCCCGCGGTCGAGAGAAGATTTTCTATCCGCTGCTGGTAGCAACACAGCTGTAAATTGTGACTTACAGTACTGTATGAGCTGCAGTTAGCTCTAATTAAGTCACTGATGGCACTTTGTTCTCAGAGTTTCAGAGAATCATTTCACCTCCACTTGAACAAAGTCTTGGGTGTGTTAACAGCCAGCACCCGCTCACTTTAAATAGCAACCTAGTGATAGCAGTTTGAGTTAATGCAGAGTAATGGCTTGGAGAACAATTACTGGTGTCTGCAGCTGACGCAGAGGAAAATACAGTGTAATTTACCTTTATTCATAACACTTTGTATTTCTTCTTTCACACCATTATGTGTAGTTTAGCAACTAACCTCATTAAATGAATTATTTAATTATAGGGCATCTGCGTGATGATATAACATGATGTTATAACACTAGGATTTTTATAAAATTCTGTCTGAGGCTTAGCACACAGAATTATATCTCAGACATACAATTATAAGAAAAACAACAATTAAAATGTTTTGCCTAATTCTTTTATGTGATTCTGTGGTATCACAGTTAAGAGTGGATTGGATGGCCACGATGTACTTTATTCCCAAAACAGAAAAAAGGATCTTGCAGTAATCGCAGGTCTGAGAGACAAGATACTGGTTGTGTCCTTCTCTTTGCTGTAGCTTAGTGACAGATGTAAAATGTTTAGCAGGTGAAGTTTTCTGTTATTTGTAGACCCGCTGCTACATAATAGTGGTACGAAGGGCATCAAGTGGGTAAGCCAGTAAAGGTGCGCTGAGGCTGTGCTCCTGAGAGAATGCTGCATAGTGTATTTTCTGGAGCCAGCGGGAGGAGAAGCTGAAAGATGTTACCTGTGCTTGCAGAAGCAGCAGAGTAGCATCGTATTGCCCTATGGTGGGAAGGTAGGCTGCTTTCTCCCCACTGAGAACGACAGTTTGAACTGCCAACATCTGGGATGATCACGATAACCTCATACACTAATGCAGCTGTTTCAGCGTCAGTTCCATGGCCTAACACACGGCGATACCACTACCCTGTTCAGCAGACACCAGGTGCACGTTTTATTCCAGTGTTATAGGGATTTCATTTTCTCTTTATTTAAAAAACCAAATATAATCTCCCTGTTATTAATTGCTGGCAAGCTTGCTTGTTTTTCACTTTTTAGTATTCCTCTCACACTTCCAGTCTTTCCACCAGAGGCTGCTTTTCAGATTGCTTTATTATAAATTGAAGCTAAGAGTACCCCTAGGGTCTAATTCCTAGAATGATTCAGGGAATAGGCAGTCCTACAACCCTGAGAACTATTAAAAGCTCACGCTTCGTGCTTTAGCAGGGCACTTAGGAAAGATGTTTTCCCCCTACGCCAAAGTTGCCTTCTGGATGTAGATTTTCTAGCACAACAGTGAGAAAGCTGTTCTCTTGTCAGGAACAGCTACTGGCTGCAGCTGGAGATAAAATACTGATAGGGACGACTGGGTTTCAGAGGTAGCAGAGAGAATTCTCTCAAATCGCTGACTGTCTGCGTCCTTATGTGTATGCTCAAGAGGATGCTTGGTCACCAAATTTGAGATCTACAAGAAATGTTTCCCACCTTAGGTGATAAAGGACCTTAAAAATCTTTTTGCTTTTCTTTGCAGCGTGGAGTACAACATGGGAAGAGGCGCTCTCCTTCCTGTGAAGGAGAAGGGAAATGGGGCTGCCCCTGTAACTGAAAGTAGCGTTAGTGTATGTGTTATGGTATTGCAGTATGACCCACACCTCGCAGAGAATGACTCTTCCTTGCAAAGGCGTGCAATCTATGCACTTTATTCCTCCTCCTATTATCCTAGCACCATGCATAGATTGCACAAACAGGTACAAGGTTTCTTCCTTTGTACGTACTACCAACTCACACATACTTAAAACATTCAGCTCTGCATCAAGTGGTTTTCTTAATTTTTATTGATTTGACTCTTTTAAAGTTGTGTGGACCATGTTACGATTCGTTAAGAAAGGTAGCAATTAAAAAAAGAAGTCTTAAATGAACTATCACAAATATGTCTTTAGGAACAGATTCTTACCTCGTATCTCGCAAGGAATGCATACAGTATTCTCCTCTCATGTCAGGATCTCACCCTATTTTCACTTTTGAAAGCAGGTATTTTAACCTCAATACAGTACAATCAAGCTTACTTTTCATTTGTTATTTATTGAAAATCTTAGTGTCTGTAACTGTCTTGCTCATGTATGCATTTACATCTTTTAGGACTGGAACATGTTTCTTTTTAGTATAGAAGCAGTGCTTGACAAACAATAGTAAGCTTTAATAATTCAAGGAATATGCTCATTCTAGAATTTGAGTCTGAAATTACTTGAAGCTGTAGTTCAGATTTTCCTTGCTAACATAAATTTCTGACATTATCCATTGATCATGGGCTTATCTGCATGACAGTGACCCCTCCTAAATGTAAGGACAGGAGTGGACAGAAAGGACATACTGAGAACTGGACTGTAGGCAATGCTGCCTTCTGGGTTTACTTGTGGGATTTCTCCTTCCTGTAGTAATGAGACTGGAACTCTTTGGCAGCATCCCTTTGATACGAGATGGATATCTTTTTTCAGTAATGCTGTAGAATGCCTTTGTTACTTTTGCCAACAATGCACACAGACTTTTATAAAGCTGTTAAATTTATCATGGTCAGGAAATCTAGATTTCTCATGGTATTTTTTTGCCCCTGGAAGTGAATTAATGAAAGCAATAGTAAGAATGATGATTCCCAGTGGGAATACTTGCTGAATTGTAGGGCGTTACAGATTGGGTAAATTCTGGCTAATCTGTGCTAGTTAATATATCTGTAAGGTACATCATTCAAAACATTAACCATTCAGGAGGCATGTATTTTGATATATTTTGCTAATTTATTTCATTTGACACCTGTTAATTTTATTTTATTTAACAGTAGAAAGAAACTAATTTAAACTAATCCGTTTGGAACATACTTTCCTGAAGAAAAACCTTCAAATTTCTAAGAACTTTTTTTGAAAAGCTCTTTCAAAAGGCTGTATATCTCAGTACTGGATAGAGGGATAAATCTGCGCTGGCATCTGAACAGAGTCGTTTATGACTACGACCTTTACCACTGTTCTTTGGCACCCACACTGCCTCCCAAAAGTACATCATTAACATTGTTTGAGTGCTCAAAGATTTTGTAAGTTCTTGTTGCTTGTAATTAAATTACCGTTATTTTTTTTTGGCCTTCTCTTTCTCTTCCTTCACATCTACTTGACCCTCATACAGCTCTCACAAAGGAGGGTGACATGGAGAGGTTATGTTCCACCCACCACTCCTCCTCTTCCATTGCTTCTTCATCTCACTGGTCACCACCCTTGCCGTGCCCCAGCGGCCGCTCCTGCTGCCAGTGCCTGCTGCGGATTCTGATCACGCTCTACCTCTTCATCTTTGTTTGTTCATATGTTGTGTTTCTTTCCATCAATTCAGCGGGCAAGTCCACGAAAAATGCAAACTCAGAGAGTCATTCGCTTGAGTCTGAGCTCTCCCACTCCACTCCTTCCTCTGCACTGTGTAAGTTGAGAGACTCATCTGTTCAGATGATCTCTTGTCTCTCCTCTTCCCTCCCCATCATCTGACAGTAGGACAAAAAAGGTCAATACTGTGGTCTGTCTGATCTATGAATGAGCTTTTCTTAGGGTTTACGAAAGTATGAAGTATATTTTTTTGTTTATTTATTTCTTGGCCACGTTTTATTAATAGTAAAAATATTATCATC